CAGGAAGTTGCTCCCACCGAAGTATCTATGACTCGAAAGAAGCCAGAAAGGTGAGCATTGTACAGTTAAATTTCGTTTGAACTGCGTAGTAAGCTCTTAAGGATTTGTATTCTTACATGTTCCGCGTAGTGGAACGCTTCATCAGAGGTCAATGATGATTTAAGTGCTCGTAAGACGTCCTAAGAATATGTAGCAGTCAGTCGATCCAAACATTGTGTAAGGTTGAAGAAATATGTGTGTGTGTGTGTGTTGATTAAACATGAAGGTTTAGAAACGGACACATAGGAACCACAATCAGAATATGACCATGTAAAAGTGGGTGAACAAGTAACAAACTGTCGACCCGGCGTAATGAGAGAGAGATATATTACTTTGTGTTTGTTCTTCTTATTGGCCAAGCGTTCGTCAATTACAAAGCGAACCTGCACGTACAAAAAACACTGACATGAATAGTAAGGCAAGTACAAATATGCTTCACTAGCAATTCAAAGATTTGGAAGGATGGTTCAAGGATATGAAAGAGATATAACAGTGACAAGGAATAGTACCAGGATAGTTTCAGCTCAGTTGAAGAATGCTCTAAAAAAACATTACCAAATTGAGAACTCACAGAATGGTTGCAGAATAAGCAAACTCACCTTGTCAAGCAGCCTCTTTGGTTCCTGGAATGCTTGTTTCTTGGCCCAGTTGTGAAATAAGTGAGAAACGATTGATCTGTCCTCCACATCAAACCTGTTTAAGGACACAGATTCGAAAATTCCAATGATAAGCCCAAATCAGATAAGTTTGAAACTATATCTTTGCCGTGGTTCGATTGAGAAACCTTTTCAGGAAATTGTTCCCATTGAGTGCGTACGCCACATCTGCTGACTCCTCTGAGGCATTATCTATTGGAATGTCAATATTATCATTGACTAATGTATTTTCTTCATATTTAATTCCCGTCACAAAACTAGACACGCCGTTCTCGGCTCCTTTTGACAAGCTTGGGCGAACTTTTCCCAGGTCATTCACACCTAATTCCCCCTAGTAAAAGGAGGAAAGAAAAAAAAAAAAAAGTGATAACTTCTGTTGTGGCTATCAGCGGTGACAGCATATAACACTTACAAATCATGTTAGTACTTTTATATTTGCATCATGCTTAAAACTGAAAAACAGATCAACACACCTCAACTTGTAGAAGATGACCTGGGATCTCTTTAAGAAATCGTGATGCTTGCAGCACCTGGATAGAACAACATTAGTTGCAAGTAAGTTGTATGAAAACTGATTTACTAGATTTATATAGCTCTAACCTGCCAATTTGAATCCACTGTCACATACAAGATGTAAAGTTTCTTGCGAGCACGAGTCATAGCCACATACAGAAGGCGACGCTCCTCCTACAGATTTAAACAAAAAGAAACGCTTGAATACGAAAGAAATTTCTTTAGGGAAAAAAGCGTTGATGAATGATTCTGGCAACGGAATAAGGATACCTCGAGCAATGTTCTAGTCTCATCTCCAATGTTGTCAGATTCATGTAACAGAGGAATCTCGTTGTCATTTGCCTGTCATTTTTCACCCAAATGTTAAATCAAAATGAAAATCTTATTCTGCAGAGAACACTGATATCATATTAGGCTATTTCCGTAGTTGTTTCCTATGTGACAGAGAAATCAAAGAGGATGATGATTACCTTCACTATGAAAACAATGTCCCACTCCAAACCTTTAGACTGCGCAAAAAAAAAGGCAATAGAATTCAGTAATATTTCCCTTACTACTCGAGGCAGCTAAACAAGTCCCAGAGTGCCAAAAAGAGGACTGCTCGAATAGATGACAGACACCTGATGGATGGTAGTCAGCATGACAGAGTTTTGATTGTCACGTCTTCTTGAACGAAAATTCCCACTTTCGCGCTCGCTAATGAAAGTAATAAAGGACTTAAGTAGCTGAATGCAGCCTTTCTGTTCTTTGATTGTATCTAGTTCTCCTTCAGTTGAAGTAGAGTGCGTGGACAGAAACTCAGAGACATCATCCATTAAATACTGTAGTAGCTGGCAGACAAGAACATATTCACTTAAGGATATTGTCAAAGCAATCATAGGCACATTTCGGGATTTTTACTACAGATATATAAGAAAGAAAATGTGTTTGTAACTGTCTGAAGACCAAAAGGCACATACAGTTCTAAGATCATTATCTTCATTAAGCAGCTTTCCTCCATCAGAATCAAGGACTGCCCGTTGCTCGAGAAGGTATTTCTGAAATTTGAAATAAGTTTAACATGAAGCTGGGCATAAGAAGATGGACAGAAGAATGTCACAGGAAGTTTGGAAGTAAATAGTAACACTGCAAATCAACGTCATGAGTCATACGAATGTTGTTCTGCGAGGCGAGCTGTTCACCAAGCAATAGAGAATGAGGAACAGCGGATGGAATGTGTGGCTCAAGCCTAAAGTTTACATAGAATTTCAAGACCAGAATTGCATTGACAAGTATATTAACTTATCCGTTAACAATTGAAATTACCAATAGTATCTTGATAGTTTGGATTCGATGTTTAGCTACAAAATAATCAAAAACTGACTCCATGAAGTTCATTTCAGAAGAAAAAGACTATGGCAATGAGCCAGATATCACTCGAGCAGGAACAATTACCTGAGGTATCATATTTGCTACAGATGTCACAACAGCTGAAAGTGATTGTTCCTGCAGAGTGCAGAACATGCATAAGAAAAAGATTAATTGTTTCTAGTTAAAATTAGTCTGGTGTCTTGTTTCTGCTATTGTGATAAACAACCTGGAATCTGGGATAGTGTATTAGGGGCAACAAAACTTAGGAAATGGGAGAAAAAGGTCGTTTCTAGCTCTCACAGTAGCTATGTCTATGTGCCCTCAAAGTTCTAGGATTCAGTGAAGCTGATGAAATAAATTGATTGTTTTCACCCTCAGTCGGGTGGAGATCAGTACGGGAAGACTAGTTAAAACAAATGACAAGGACATTATATATAGGCATGACAAGAAATTGGTTTACCCTGAGAACCAGCTTTCTTATCATCTCAAGAGTCTGCAACACTTTGCGTCCCTGGCTAAGCTGGCTCCTACAGATAATTTAAAGCGGAATCATAAACTTTACAGTCTACATAAATTAGGAAATAAATTCAGAATTAGAGAGGAAAATTATACAGAAAGACCATTTTCAGTATTTCACCCATCTCTAATGCCACCTACGTCTAGCAAGCTATCTACATCCACCATTTTCGAGTATGCAACATGATAGAGGCAAACATGTTTTTATGTGAGATATGCGTGTATATCCTACTTTGCACCAACATCATGATGGTACTACTTGCTAAGAAAACCTAGAGAAGTCCATATTCTCAATTCTGATATCATATTAAACTGGTATTGTCACTTAGACATGGCTTGCTATAGGAATTTCATAAGACAACACCTCTTGAAGGTACCAGAAATCTTGGCGCTGAAGATATCACCTGCAGCCGAAATGAAACTGCATTTCCTACTGCTAGCGATTTTTTCAATATGTTCTATCACCTGCAGATAATGACAGATTAATTAAATACTAACAACAGACATCCCTCATAGCGCAAGTGGGAAAAAATGTCATTCACAGATAGTCATGCAGAGTAAGGATCTTTCAAGGTACAAACTAAGTATATACCCTTTTCTTTTCTTCTTGCTCAAAAGGAAGCAACGCTTTGAAAACTCGACGATAAGAAGCATCATCACACTCAGCTAATGCGGTTCTCAGCATGGCTACAATGGCTCTGACTACCTAGTGTAAAAAATATTTCATAGTCGTCATGTCACATGAAGTGAGCTGGTAAAAACGTGTAATGCTAAGTTAATCGCGTGGATTGAAAAACGATCAATGTCTGTGATAAACAGTCTTACATTTCTATAGAATGCAAGCATATTATGTTTATGGGAAAACAAAATAGATTGATGCAGCAAAAGCGTCTGGCCTGTAATTTTTTTTTAACTTATATTAGGTGAAAATGATTATTGGTGTGATACACTTTCAGTAAATATAATAAGCAGATATCAGGTTTAAAATGCAAGAGCAACTCACAAGACAAACTACCTTTTTCCTGTATACGGCTACACCATGAACATTGAATGGTATTTTTCTCTGGCGGAATGCAGTTTGGAAGATTTTCCCAGACACCTGTTATCAGTTCTGCTGTAGTTAGACTAGCATATACGCAAATATATTAATATATGTTGAGTCGTCTAAATCTTTGACAACATCTCAAAAATATAAAACAGAAAAAAGGACTGACCTGTCTTCGGTAAAGGATGGCAATATCACCATAGGAACAATTGAATGTTGAGCCATCCTTTGTGCTTTCAATTATTTTGTCAATGACGAATGCACACTGTGCATCCTCATTATGACATTCCTTGACAGTAATCTGTAGTGGGTCAAACTTGACAAAGTTAAAGAATCTAGCTGTGTGAGTATACAATTTCTGAAAAAGGATAAGTTTAACTTGCCTTAGATCCATCGGAGTTTTCAGACAAGATACTTTTGGAATGGCACCGCTTTTTATTGTTTTTTATGATAGAAGATGCAGCTTCCACAATATGGCGAGTGGACCTGTAGTTTCTGATAAGTCTGACCTGAATAAGAAGCAATGTAGCAAGTTTTATGCAATGGAAATCCAAGGTCAAAAGCTTTTGCTAGTTACATTTTTAGATCATCCATTTGATATATTGGAATACTAAATCATATGAGATACTGTCATCTATGGAAAGCAAACCTCTTTGCAATTCGGGAAATCTCTACGAAATGAAACAAATCCTGAAATATCTGCTCCGTTGAAACTGAAAATGGACTGCAAGAAAAAAATATCACGCTTCCTGTTGTAGTAATTAAAATAGAGTAAATTTGTTGTAACTACAAAATGGCACCTGGTCATCATCACCAACAATAGTTATGCGATTATGAGACCCTAGAATTTGCAGAAGCTTGTACTGCATGGAACTCGTGTCCTGGAATTCATCAACTATGATGGCTTTCCAAGTCTCTCGGCATT